ATCTGTTCAAAAAATGAGTTACCAATTTAATAACATGATTTTGTTGTAAGTTCACCTAAGGATTTGAAAAGTACAATGTATGCAAAAACAACCTCTGCTCATTTATTTATATGTTACACACCTTTTTATGTCAATGAAATGTAATTTAATTTTTTTAAAGTTTCTTAAATTGACAAAATAGTCATTTAAAAGTTTGATATTTTATCTGCATAGATCATTACTCTGTTGACCTTCGGTTTCATGAAACATGCATAGTAGTCGGATAAAACATAATGATTATATGAAAATCGTTCAGCGTGGCGTTATAATTGTGTTTGTGTTATTTAATTCCTTCTATTTGACCTTTTCGAGTTGTGTGGTTTCTAGTATTTCTTTTTAAATAGTGTACAATAACTCTTTGGATAATAGTGTATAATAACCCTTTTGATATGTTACCTGCTTTTAAAGATTATTTTTGACGTTTGATCCCGTTTTATAAATCCATTTTATTGAGTTTTGCCCATTGTTCTCTATTTCTTGTGGATAATATGATTGCACGAACATTTTACATTGAAGATACCATGATCACGTTTCGTATGAATACATCTATGGACGTGTCTTCACTTCTTTTAAAAGTGTACCCATATGTAAAATTGAGAATTCTGCTCAAGCCGGTGCTAAAGGGTGTGGATGGTAGGTACTTGCAATTACCACTACCGGTATGTTCCTATATGACAACACAGTGTAAATAAAATAAATCCCCGCCAAGTAAAATTCTAACAATTGTTATGGTTACATTAGACGAAATAAATAAAATACATACATACATGATCGTGTAAATATGTACAATTAAGGTACAGCCTAATTACCATAACCAAAGTACTCGATGCCTTAAAGGAAGACAGAGCAACAAGAACATCACTTACCAAGACAGAAGACGAAATTTAGAACAATTAAGAACGCATAAAATATCAAAAACGAAAATGTTGCAGGCTCGGTTTGATTGAGCCTGTTCATGAACGGCACTGTCAAGTGCAAACTACATACACGCCCCCTAGCACCGAATTAAGCAGAATTCAACATTAAATCATGGTTATGGTGAACTTTTGGATTTAGAAACAACCGCAGACGCGCTTATAATGCGGTTATCACGGAACCTTCAATGTGACACGTTAGTGTCATTCCATAACAAGCGGCGTATGGTCCCCAAGTACAAGAATAAGTGTGCCCTAAATAAGAAAACAATGAGCGGAACTAAATAAAATGGAATTTTGAAAGGGGATCAGAGGTTATGAAGCCTGCATGCCACAGCATCTCCACATAAATCAGGCCTGCTTATACCTAGACATAAAAGAATAAAATAGAGAAAAACAGAATCCCTAAACGAAGTCCAACACAAATGTTTGAAAATGTTGCAGGCTCGGTTTGACTGAGCCCCTGTTCATTGACGGTTACTGGAAAGTGCAAGTTACCGTCCACGCCCCCCTAGCACCGGCTTAAGCAGAATTCAACATTTAAAATGTGTAAAAGGTTAATTTGGAATTTAGAAACATCCGCAAGCGTGTTCATACGGGCGGTTATCATGGAACCTTCAATGTGACACAGTAGTGCCATTCCATGAAAAGCGGCGTATGGTCCCCAAGTAAAATAATGCTATTGCCCTAAACGAGAAAACAATGGGCGTAACTAAATAAAATGGAAATTTGACAGGGGATCTGAGGTTATAAAGCCCGCATATCACAGATAAGACGTCAAAAGACAAATTAAAAAGCATGCAGGCAACAAATATTATCCTAAAGGTGATTACACAGTACTGGAACTACCCAAGTTGAAAAATGCCAAATAGAAAAAACTGAGAGTACCACATACACAGCGATAATGTCGTGCTGAACGATCTTCAAGGATTTAAAATACAATTAAATTTTATATATTATCTGAATTACGACGACAGGACTTTGTAAAATACGTAATTTATGATAGCCTTGTTAAAGAAGTTTGCCATTAATAAATAAATTGCATTCATTAGAATCATCCACACGACAGCAGGCCAAGGCAACTCTAATTAACTTAGAAATATATATACCTTATATGATGTTGCATGAAGTACAACAACGTTTTTTTTTAAAAAAAAAATTATCATAGATTTTAGTTACTATGTTATTGTTTATGATAGAAATGTTTAAATTTGAAAATATTAAGAGTTTGTTTATTCATTTTACGTTCACTTAGATATATTTTAGATTTCACTTGATTATACATGTTAAGGATATTATCTAGGTAGCGGTAAGTGCTATTTAATTGGCAACGTTATAGCTTCCGGTTTGTGAAATAGTAGAGAGACTTAACATAAAATACCTCTAGTAACAATATATAAGTAAATAAAGTAAAATAACATGTCATTGGCATTATGATTGTAAAAATCAGGAAAAGGGAGATCTTTGAGAGCAATTAAACATGGCAAAAGTTGATCATTTCAAACTCAGTATGATGGGGTCTGTTTCATGAGACACCATACCTCACGTCTCTTAGTACCGACTAAGTAGTATTCAATCCTCAACTATAAAAGTTTTGCTATCAATGATCCCGAAGGACCAAGTCGTCCGGTTAGCTCAATAGGTAGAGTGTTGGACTGTGAATTGGACAACCCGTGTTTGATTCCCGGACGGGGCAGGTCACTTTCGTTGTGATCGATCATAAAATACATGTAGTTTCTATGGTTATTCGCACTGTACCACTGCTCTGCTGTTCATGGACGGTACTGGAAAGTGCATGTTACTCTATGCCCCCCTAGCACATAGTATTACTATCAAGTACCCGCCAGGGAAAAGATTAGCTATTTTCGTCCAATTGAAAGCTCTTCTTTATTCCTCCCATGAAGTTAACAAATTTAAAACCAAATGCTCAAAATCATACACAGAAGCTGTCAGTAGGACAGCGTGCTCGACTATTCTCAGTGCTTGATAGTAAAAAAATGGGACATAATATTGTAAAAAAGCTTGATACAGTGACCTCCTCTGTACACAGGTTGAGATTATGATGGTGACAAGTGTGCAAGGTCTCAAAGCGATATGTCGATGGAATTTTGAAATTAATCTGAGGTGGTAATGTAAATTCAAAAGATGGGGAAAATGGGCATAATTCTGTCAAAATGCTTGATAGACCTCCTTCAGTGTTGAAAGTGGAGGGACATGATGGTAAACAAGTGTGCAAGTTTCAAGCCATAATGTCAATGGAACTTTGAGATGGTACGCAAACTTTGACGCCGATGCTCGGGCAAAATAGGATAGTTGTCCTTAATCGTCGAATAGTTGAGCTAAAAAGAAACTGACCACATAATATAATATTTTCAATTCAATATATATATTTATATAATATTTTATTTATAATTCAGATACAGTCTAGCAGAAAAGTCTCTTAATGTAAACTGAATAACCTACCTATTTTAAATGTTCTAGCAAATTACATTTTATATTTTGATGTATATATTATATCCGTCATCAATAATGACAAAACTCCAAATATGGTTCAATTGTAGATTATCATATGTTATGCCAATGCCTTAAAACAAGAGCTTCATGTCAGACAGCACGCTCGAATATTTAAAATCAACAGCCTGCATTATAAAGAAATTCTCTTATTCATAAAGTAGTATAACTCTTTGAAATAAAAACATGTAAGAGGGAAGTAACCTACATTAATGATGGTTGTGGAGATAAATGTTGTCCGAGAAATTCTGTAAGTTAATAAATAGATAATTATTATTATTGCCTAATAAATGCTTAGCTTATGGGTCTTGAACAGTGACCTACAAGTACAATCAAAATCACATTTGAAGACTAACAATGAATGTTTATGGCTAAGGAGAAAAAAACTTGCAAACAAATCCTTAACAAAAGGCAAGCAATTACCGAATTGCAGGTCAGTAAATAGTTCCTTATTGTGTGCATAAAACAAATAAAAGAGATATTTCAACATTTAGACACACATGCAGGGCATTTTCTATGAAAGATAAGATGTCTCATCACTAACCAATTCAATAAAATTGTTATCCTTTTTATATTACTATCATAATATAAAACAAAAAAGGATTTAATTTAAAGTTGACTTCCCGTAATACCCCATCCACTTTGTATATAAATTTAGATCAATAAAACACATTTATGGCATAGTCCGCTTATTCTAACTTATTCTAAATATGTGTAGATATAGATTTAAAGCTGTATTAAACGAAATCATGAATGTTATTCAGTTTAAACAAGAATAAAACTAATAAGTTACACATATTCAGAAAAGGACACCCAGTTTGCAACATATTTTTTCTTCTTTTGTTTAAATAAGGCGATGAAAACTAGAAAAAAGATCAATAAAGTCAAAGTTTATAGCATAAGTAAGTTGAAAATAAGATTTTTTTTTAAAAAATTCAATTGATTTACAAAACTGAAAAAGGAAATAAGCCAACGTAAAATTACTAGAAAATTTAAGGGATTTGGCGGCATGCTTTGACGCCATCTTGGATATCTTAGCTTCGCATCGGGGTTGGGCCAAATGAATATCCATTCAAGAAACTACAGATCCAGACGAATATTTTGGTATATGAAACTTGCTGTTGGCTGACATAGACCAGTTACCCCTCTAAATAGGCTAGTAAAATGGGCTGATTTGCAGCACTAAAAGAGAAAAAAAGGGTGACGACACTTTAATTTCTTGAAATTCCCACAAATGAAAGTATTCTTTGTCCCCAGCTAGATTCGAACCTTCAGATGAGGGGTATATGTAATTTACAGTGACCATAACCAATTAGGTATAACTGGAATTATTTATTAATTCTATGCGATTGCGATTATTTTTTATGATAAGTAAAAGATAGAATGTGATCTTTAGGCGCACTAATTTCTTGTACAAAAATGGATTTCAAGTTTTTACAGTATGTTTGTTTTTGTCGAAGTCATCAAACTCACTAATTTGTGACTATTCTAGGATTTATATAACAACGCTTTATACATGTATATGTATATTTTCAGTTCTGGGAGAAACAGCAAGGAAAGTTCCAGTGTTTTGTTCCCGAGTGTTAGGATATAACAAAGATAATGACAAATATTCATCCATATCAGATTTATATGTTATTTTATTTATTCTTAAAAAACTTAAACATTTCTATAGTTTTTCGTCTATTTTCATCAATGACTGACGATTGTTTTACCATGATACAGTATAATCCACATTCGAGAAATGCAATGCTTCTAGCTAGTGGTCTTTCATACAAACACGTGTATGTGAAACACGTGACTAGAGTAGAAAAGTTTAAAAGTGCAATCCAATTTAGAATAGAAATCATAAATATAATGTAATATTCACGCAATGCTCTCAGATATAGATTGCTAATGTCAAAAGTGAATGTGTAGGGTCACAAGAAAAACGCAATTATAAAGACGTCACGAGATAAACTTGCAGCGCAATATGTATATATAAAGACGGCACGAGAAAAACGTGCAGCGCACGAGAGAAAACATGCAGATGTACATTATGTCACAAAGAAATCGAGTATCACACCCGTGGACAATTTGCGTAGTGACATAAGAAAGACGTGAGACGTACAGTGGTTCAAAAAGCAACAACAAAAAATGGTAGTGATCAACAAGGATAACGAGAAGCGACATAGTACATAGGCCTGCTTTAGTGGTTGTATAAGCATAATTCTGTTGATATAATATATTTTTGATGAATACATACAAAATTGTTGACATATGGTGAATGACATTTGAAATTATGTAATATGTATATATTCGATTTTTAGTTTCTTTAGTAGGGATGTGCATTAAGAAAAAGACACAAGTGATTAAATCAATTTTATGTATTTATTTTTGCTGGGATACAGCGATTGGTTTTTGTGATATATTTAGAATTTTCTTGTTTTTTTTCTTCTTTTATATCAGTTTCAGTTTTTGGTATATCGTCATATACAAAATACCTTTATCCATATACAACATAAAATGATTTACAAACGGTGATTTTGCTGCAATTTAATTACACAGTATGACTGATTGCGTTATTTTCTTCATGTTATTTTTACAAAGAAAATAGAAAGTTGTTATCAGTTAACTTTTAGTTGTCTTTTTTTCACTAATTTCAAGGAAAAAAATGCCCTTTATTAGATACATGTACCTTTATGATAAAACATATAATTCAGATAAAAATATCAAAATAACGCATAGGAAAATTTAACAGTACTATTCTAAAAGTATACTATGCAACATTGAAAAAAGAAAGAATATGAATTTAGAATACAAGATAAAAGATATTAAACTAAAAGGTTAAAAAATAAATTCATTAAATTTTTCCCCCTTTTTAACAAGATTAATCAGCGTATGTTTATTTGATGCAGATAATTTTATCATACAAATATAAATAGAAAAAAATAATTGGTTGTAACAATTAAAAAAAATCATATATTATTACATGTAACTTAGTCAGTTGAATAAAACTTAGGAGGCAAATACGAGTTTACCTACACAATGTACGAGTACATGTAGAAATGTACAATCTGTACAGACCAGTTATTTCTCTAATATTTATTGAATGTCCATGTTTTCATTATATAGAGAGCTTAAGTATAAATATGAAAATAGAAGTGTTATCTGAAATGTAGAGTAATAATACCATGTGATGGATGTTTATTATTCTTATGTACAGTACAGTTTGTTTACACTAATACATACGAGCGTATTTATGTATAAATCGTTGATGTCTAAGTATATTTTGCTTGTTTCTATTTTGTCTATAAAAGTTTTGCGATTGTTTTTAGTTCGGTTTACGAGTATTTTTGTATTTATTTGTAAAATATTGTTGTCTAGAAATGTTCTACATATCCCTAGGAAGTAGAAATGGTTTTCTAGAATAATTGTACAGTAGAATGTAAGAAATCGGAAGCAATGTACAAGAAAATCTGTACTATGTATTATAGAATCGTTCTCTCATTTTAAGACATATGTTGTTTTCTTTTTCTTTTTTTTTTCTGTTTTTTTTTTCCGTTGTTGTTTTCTTTCTTCTTTTTTCGAAAAAATGATAAATCACATTAAGGACTGTTTGTAAAATAACATTAATATATTTTTTGGTATACATGATATTTTATGTTTTATTATTTAACAAAGATTAAATGATAAATGGGTAAATATTAAGAATTTGTCAGGAAATAAAGAATAACCCACAATAACGGTGTGACCAGTTCGTGTAGACAGTATAAATTAACATTAATCATTTTCATGAAAGAAAAGCTTTATTATTATTTTTGGCAAATGTGGTATGTTATACTATAACAGTTATGTATTATGTTCATATTTAACAATTGCATTGTCTGACAATAGATATGCCTTTGTTTTAATGATATCAATATTTCGTTTTAAAAATCTTTCAAACAGATATAACATACATCGTGCACATAGATATTCAAACAGAAAAGCAAAATTGAAAAAAAGTGTATTTAACAGGTGGTTTGTCAGAACAGAGTCCGACTACAGTTATTGTAAGGGAAAAGTTTAGATAGTGTAAACACTGGGCAGGTTTTAGGGTATCGGGTAGCCATTTACTGGTGGTGAACCCCGTCCACTAAATAATCTTTTAATTTCGCATTAATTAGCCGGATGCTAAGTTATTTGTCAACAAATATGTTTTATAAATGTGGCCCTTAAACAATATCCTTGCTGGCATTTTTAGCGTTTTCTGTCTTCCTAATGTTTTATAATAAGAAAGAATCGTATATTATTTCTCATTCCAAATAAATCAACTCGTCCCATAAATGTATAGTACTCGCCAGAGGCTACACTCGCATAACTCTTTGAAATAAGTCTGTGTAATATAACAACTCTTACAATATCATATATTTTACTTTTTACAATTTCTGTATACTTCAGACTACTTTTTACTTTAACGATTCGTTAATGACCATTGTAAAACACCAAGTTACTGTGTTTCTATTGACCGAAATTGTTTGTATTTTTATTAAAAAACTTGGATAAAAAATGATCAGACCGATTCATTCACCTTCCTCCCACTCTTTTCGTTACGCTGAAAGACCACCTTTTTTTCATTCATGATATGATTATTTTATGTGTTTGTATTTCCTCATATCACTATCATATTAATGTTACATGTTACATTTTTGAAATCTCATTGGCAAAATGTCATGCATTTAAATGTCTCTTTAAGTATTTATTCATACTCTGATATGCATCTTTAATTAGTAAGTATAGTGGTAATCTAAATTCTTACAGCATTATGCAATTAGAGGTAAAGTGGTGGGGTTTCATCAGTATATAAAATATAGTCTTAAGCTACACAAAACAACAAAAACTAACAACTAATAAAAACATAAGTATACCAAACTCTACATATTGGGAGCAGCAAAATATTATCTTACCAACCTCCAAATATTGATAAATGAAACAATGCTTAACATAAATCGAGCAACCAAACATAATGCAATCTCAAAATATTCACCCGGCCTTTAAATAATGACATAACCTCAACATCACCTCAACATAACGGAAACAACACAACGCAACGTTACCTATCTCCAAACACCCGTATAAATCTTAACATGATACCATTTTAAGAATAATGGAAACAGCAACCATAATATTATTAAACTCAAAATATGATACTACAACCTGTACATAGTGGTACCAATCTTAACAAAACGATACCAGTCACATCATGTTACAAAGAATATCATTTACCATCAATACATGTTACCAACCATACCAATTACCAGTTACCAACAAAACATGTTACCACCCATGTGTTAAAATATCAACCGTAAAACCAGACACCTGCAACCATTTTCTCCCCAAAATCAGTTTTAACCACCTGAAACTAGGCAAAAGTCAATTAAAATCCACACTATAATAAGCATGTGAAATATTACAATGGATGTATATTTTTATTGTTATGATACACACTGAATGATTGTTTATTGTTATATGTAAATAGGTCCACTTATTTTTGTCTTAATTTATGCTTATTTGAAAAGAATCATTAAAAGTTTTAAAGAAAAATATCTTGTGTTTTTTCTTATATTACATGTAGTTCACATATTATGGGACCTATTAACATTTTCATTGTTAATAATTATATATTTATCAAACTATGAATATATTTTTCTTAAATATGTTTGGGCGTGTGTTTAAGGTGGGACAAAAAGATATATAACAATATATTCATGGTTTGATAAATATATAATTATTAACAATGAAAATGAAACTTTCAATGTTGTATTAAAAGTTTGACTGAATTGATTGATATTTTTGTCTCCTTATTTTTACCCCCGTTATTGAGAAGTACACATATAAAGGGTATTTTTGAAAAAGTAAGTGCCTCAACATCATTACTTCTCAGGTATTCTTTAGTTCATATAAAAACATGAACCAGCGAAGTGCTGCTTAAAGATAAATCTGCGCAGTTAATTTCAGTTACTGTTAGAAAATGGTGGGAAATGAGAAAAATAAATAAAACTGCAATTTCGTAAAAAAAAGTTTATGTCTATTGTGATATGATTTATCAAGGAAGTTTTTTCAACGATTTCAATCCAAATGTTTTATTTTACTAGAAAATCATCTGATATGATGTCACATGAAGAAAAATGGTATGTAACCTAGTAGGGCTTGAGTCCACGATCCAAAATTATAGAGAAATAGAGAGATAGCTAGGTTGCAGCGCAATCTTAAAGGAACTTCACTAAGGATTTTTTGGTACCGGAAACATTTTTCAAGATTTTTATTTGTTTTGGTCGTCAGACCAAACAAATAATGGTAGCGAAATTTCAGACTCTAATGCTGTTAATTGCAAATGCCGAAAGTAGTCCGCTTTTTTGAAGCGGTTACTTCCCTTTATATGTAACACTAAGGCCGAAAAAGTCAGGGGAGATCACTGCGTAAATATAGTCACATGACAGCCGCATTAATTTTCAAGCAAAATAATTTCCGAATGGTCAAATATTTCTAATATTGTTTTATTCTTTATAGATCTACATGCTTATAGTAAGCGCAATGATTATTTACACAAGTGTTAAACAACAGATAGCGTCGTTACAAAACCTAATTTAGAATAATATGGTTTTCTTCAGACCGTAAATACATAAATTCACCGTGGCCGAGGGGTTTGCACGTCCGCTTAGGAAGCGAGAGGTCTGGAGTTCACATCCCACTTAAAGCAACTCATGTTTTTTTCAAACTGTTTAATTCAAATAAACATTGGATATCAGTGTTACAATTAGTCTTATAGCCTATCTACTACAATTAAAACACTGGAAAGCATTGGTGGCACTATACAAAAACAAATTGTTTTATAATCTCACAACCTTCAACTTTCTGACATTCTGAGACCCAAACAAATTCAGCGCCTTCTTTGCTTTGATTGTATAAATGGCTGTATGTCTGCATCAATAAGTGATGTGCACAATTTCAGATCATTTGCTCATTTCGTTTATCAGGGAAACTCAATTTTATTGTGCAAATTGACCCCAAAATGAAAAGCGTTGCAAGCCCAAATTCGTATTAAAAATCGATTATCAATTTAATTTGGAGCATATCTATTTATTATCTATTGCTTAATTTTTTATTTTATTTACACCAGTTGATTAATGAAAGAATTTTTAATAATATTACTATGTTATGCTATTGTACCTCAGTGGAGTAAGATGATAATGTAAGGGTATATTAAAGAGTGCAAAATTCGTGCGATTTTTAGTTGAACTAGTGGTGCTTTCATAATGTTGTTCCACACCGCTGTAGCAAACAAAATAAAAACAGACATGAGTTCTAGTGGTATTTTTGATGATAAATGTATTTCATGCTTGATGTATTGAGAGCATTACTCATGGATATATTACTTCTGAAGATTTCTGATCCGTTCTTGAAACAAACAAATTAATTATTATCATTGGTATAATAATAAGTTGTAGCAGATGGTACATACTATTAGATGTGGCAGATAGTTGTGGTAGTGGCAGGTGGTATTATTAATCATAGTGGTGGTAGAGGTAGTTATCAAAGTAGTGGTGGTAGTAGAAGAAGAAGTCTAGAAGTAGATGTGATGGTGGCGGTTTTGGTTGTGATTGCGGTGGTAGTTATAGTAGGGGTGGAAGTGGTAATAATAATAGTAGAAATTGTAGTGATGGTAGTGGATATAAAAGTAGTAGTGGTACTTTAAATAGAAGTGGTAGTAGTGTTACTGGTATAAATTGTAGAAGTAGAATGTAATGGTGGAGGTGGAAGTGATATTAATAGTAGAAGTGGTGGAAATGGCCATGGTATTAATAGTGATCGTGATGGTTGTGGACGTGTTAGTTGTATCTGTAGTGGTGGTGGTGTTGGAAGTGGTATAAATAGTAGTTTTGAGTAGGAGTGGTAGTAGAATTAGCTTAAGTATTGGTGGTGGTAGTAATCAAGGTGGTGATACTGGTTGTGGTAGCAGTGATAGTAATAGCGGTAGTGATGTTTTTTGTGGCAATGGTGGCTGTATTAGCGGTGGCCATTGTGGTAATGGTGCATCTTTAATAGCGGAAGTAGTCGTGAATGTGGTGGTAGTAAAAGTGGTAATGGTGGTGT